ATCTACCAAACACATTACCAAGGATATAACCTATTCTCTCTAAGATAAATAACAGACCAACTTGTGATGATGTAAGTCCATAAGGAACATAAAAAATTTTATTTACAAGAGTATCCTGTACTGTCATTAGCATGACTAAACTTCCATAATATATTAGTACTATTATAATGTTTCTTTGTTGTAAGAATCTCAAGAAACCAAGTATATTAAAACTATTTATATATTCATCACTTCTAAATGTTTCTGGTAACAACAAAAACATAATTGATAACATAAGACCGCTTATTATAGCAATGGTCAAAAGACCCAATGCTAATCTATTGTTTCTACAATATACCTACTATATACTGATCCAATCATGAACCCTAGCAATGGACTGCTATAAATTATTCCTAATGCAAGACCATGTTCCCTTTCATCAAACATATCTTTTACGCTATTAGCTGCTGTTAAGGAATGCTGATGTGCTACATGACTGTATAAATCTCAAGACCAAGAGTAACTATATATTATCAACAATAGCTAATAGAACACTCGTGGTTAGAAATATCATGATCGCAATTCGATAAATGTGATTTCTTGTCATGTAATGTTCAGAGTATGCAAACCAAAACAATGGTCCAGTGGCGAGTATGAATATATACACACCAACTAGAGAACTTGTAAGAAACTCAGTGGTTTGTAATCCATCTTGTATTTCATATAATACAAGGTAAAGAATTGATAATGATAATAATGATAATGAAGATATAAATATTAGAAATAATAGACATAAATATTTTCTTTTATTGGACCAATATTTAGAATCAATATCAATTGTGTTTATAATAAACTTTTAAAATTTTCATTATTGATTACTTTATAAATTAGATTTGACAAAAACTGGTTATATTTATACTATTGATATCTATTCTAACTGATGGCTGGGTGTAGCTCACACAACCACCTACTGTTATAGTTTCTATTCTATCAATTACTGGTTTTACAGGAGGAAGACTATTGATATAAAATGGTATACTATTTATCTTATGATCCTTTCTGAAATGTTTCTTTGCTTTATCTTCAAAATATTTATTACAATACGTGCATAAAAATTGGTTTCTCGATTCACTGTTTAGACAGGGTGTTGAATTCTTAACAAACGATCCTGTGATGGAGAGTTTATAAACTTTATTTACATGCTTTCTAAACTTCTCAAAATTTTTTTTAATTTCCATAGAGAAATAACAAGTGAATAATTGCATAGGGTTGTTTAAGAAATGAGTATCAAGACTTATAGGGATTTTGGATTTAATCATGGGATATTCTTCATTCACATGATTTTTAAACTTTTCACCAGTCCAATTATCAAAATTCATTTTACAATCTTTACAATAAAATCCTCCATCGAGCACAGGTTCTACCTTCATAGAGTATAGTGCCAAATTTGCTAATTTCTTCAAATGTTCTTCAGGATCTTCAGGAGAGATAAACTCATGGGTTAATTTCAGTTGGGTTTTCTATTTGAACATTCGTTTTTTAACTAATGGATAACTATATCACCAGAATGTGAAGAAAAA